AGCTTAACCAGCAAAGGAGGACATCCCATCTCCAACTCCCCCTGCTGTTTCCCTTCTCTTGCCTCAATACCCATCAGTGCCTTTGCAGGTGAGCAGTGATATGGGTCAGTGCACAGCATCCATGAACAATTTAACCTTAGAAAACAACAATTAGTTCCTGGTAGTTGGGCAAGCAGGAATGGCTTCCCATGCAGCCACAAGTGCAGTGACACAACTGAGGGTGTGGGACCTGCAGCTGCAGGAGAGGAAAGGCAGGACCATGCAGCAAGGCCTTAGATCAGTTTACAACAATTGTGTAAACAATCATTAGGGAGCATAACCACAGGGCTTTAAGCCAGGAATATATTATGCCAAAAATTATGAAAGTATTTGAACACCTTCCTGCTCGGTATTCTGCAAACTATACTTTGCTTGGTCTCTCCCCAGGAGAAATGCCTGTGTACCACAGCATCTTCTTCCATGGACCCTTTCCTGTGCATGCACATTTGTGCTTTTTTTTTTTTTTTTTTTTAAACTCTTCAACTTGAATTAGACAAGACAAGATCAAAGAAATTCACAGCCCTGGTCAGCTCCCTGCCATGATGTCAACTGCCTTTTTTTAAAAGTAGGTATTACAGCATGAGGTTTCACATTTAAGTTGATAGATAATATAGTCAGCACTGACTGATGTCTTTTCTTGGTAGGAAGGTGCATTCCTGTGGACTAATGTACATGTGATTGCATAGTGTGGCCACTGGATGTTGTCATTGCTCCTTAATTTATAAGAATGCCACAATCTCTGAATTACTGTCCCCTGGAGAAACAAGATACTCCTAAAATACAAGGCAGCTCCAACATCAGCTGCAGCTGTTGACAGCACATAAAACCACCACGAGTACTAGAACATCTGAATAATGACAACAGGGAACAAAGCAAATATCACATCCTACAGAAAATTTAAAGCATCCATGATGCTTTAAATAACCAAGGAAGCCTGGACTCCAGTTATTGCTCCAATGATTTACAAAAACATCAATAAAAGCACAATGGGAGGCGCTAAATGCGATGCTTGTCATTTATCCATTTGACAGCCATCTGGGAAGTTTCATTTCACTGTGAGATCTATATTTGTATTTAACATCAGGCAAAACATTTCCAAGATAAGAAAGCACTGACCATCTTAAGGAGCTTCCTAGGCAGAACAGTCAAGATGCTCCTTTGACAATGAATGGGATTATGGAGAGAAGCTTCCATTAGCTGACACATTTGATGTACTTAAATGAAAAAAAGATTAAGAACCACACCAAATGAAGGAAAACTAAAGGCTATGCTTTTTTTATTGCTTCCCAGATGTCCCTAAACACTGAAGTGCAATTTTGTGCCAGGTTCCATCTTTTCTGACTGCAGGCTACTGCTAGAAGATGTGATCCCATTCTCACCTTTCCCTTACATCTGATCTAGCGCTCACAGACAGAAGCTGAGTTTGAGATTACTGTTGAGGAGGACAAACTAGAAAAGAAAACAAAATCAATTATTCTCAGTGGCTTAGCAAATGGAATCCATCACAAAACTGCACAAGCCCTAGATTCTGTGCAAGAGAACTGATGAAACAGCCTCTAGTGGAAGCAGCCCCTAGTTAAACTAAATTAAGCACAACACAGAACCATACTCTGAGTCAATTTGCCTGTTTTCAGGTGATGACTGTCCCCTACAGAACCACTATGTTTGCTACTTATTTAGCTACTGTTTATCCAAACTGCACTTTCTGACAGGCCAATGCTGTTATTAGATTCACCCCACAACAAACCAACACATAACTTTTAAGTTCTTTTGCATTATTCTCACTCTGACATATTACTTTAGTGTGCAGCAGGACAAACCTTTCTTCAGCAGTGATACTGGCTTAAGTGGAGTTTTACCCTCCTCCAGCCCCATGGCTACATCCTTGGTCATTCCAGTATTTGAACTTGTGCAGTTTATCAGACAGCCACACAGCCACCTGTGTGAGAAAACTGATCGGGGGGAGGGAGAAAAAAGACAAAGCAAAACCACAAAAACTTTCCCTCCCCAGCTTATTTTGAACACAGATCAGTTTCCAACATTGCTTATGCCTTCACTTCAGCCAACTTTTCCCTCCCCCACCCCCAATAACTCAAACCACTGCTTAGGACTTACTGAAACCTAAAAGGTTTTCAAAGGTAAAGCACAACAACAAACTAAAAGTAGTTTTTGTTTTGCTGCTCTGATTATATCCACCTGAGAGCAATGGTCTTGCTATAAAGAATATAAGCACAAACAGCAATATTACTTGTATTAGGGTAATATTGTAGGCAAGAAAAACCAAAACTAACCAGTAAAACTTCATTTCTCTATTCCAAAAAGCCTCATGCCAGCATCATGTCACAACAGCTTGAGTAGACCAGAAGATTTTAAGATTTCAATTGTCATCTTGAAGATAACTTGTATCTCAAAACACTAATCGAATCCCTTTCACATTAGTCAATGAAATAGCCATGAAATGTAGCAGAAAACATTGTTTAATAGGCAAGAAAAATGATGCAAGTGGCTTACGGTGAGAACCCCAGCACTGCTAGGTACAACTCTACAGTTCCCTAATGGAGGAAAGGACAGTGGAATGCAGAGTTGTTCTCAAGTTTGGGGAAAAGACACTTATAAGTCCTTTTGGGAATTTCATTAGTTGAAGGCAGATGGGAACACAGCAAGGAACAGGACCGTAGCGCTGATCATTCCATTTCATGTTAAATGGAGTCTTTCAGGATATCTGGCTTGCTTCAGGGCAAGAAAGTAGCCATGAAGTGCCGTGGAGGGAGAATGCAGGCTGTGAACCCCTTCCAGCTAAGCACTGGTAAATCTGTCTGGCTGAAAGATTCTTGCTCTGCAGCACAATACTTTGTACCTTTTTAAGACCATGAAATTTCATGACTAGCATCCAGCCCATTAAGTGGTTTTAGTCTGTGAAGATGTTGGAAGCAGGTCTGGCCTTCGCTCTCTGAAGGAGTTGGGTAGAACAAATAAGTGTTTTTATAGCAGCGAATGATCAGTTTTCCAAGTAGCCACCAAGCATCTGAGACAGATTTATTTAGTATTCAAAAGTGTTGATCAAGCTCAAAGACTGACACATAATAATACATACATATTTTTAAACAGAAGCTAGCACAGAAAAATGACAGTGTGCTCAGGCCAGAACTAGTAGAAAATCAGCTTCTCCAGTTAATTTGATGTATCCTTATCCTGGAGAGTGACTGGAATAGCAGGAAAAAGGCACTTTTACTTGCTAGGTTTGAGGCAGGACAGGTCAATCTATGCAACTAGAGAAATACTTCCAGGCATCTCTAGATGTTTGCATATATTGAGGATTTAAAAAAAAAAAAAAAAAAAAAAAAAAAAAGGTGGAGCTATGTTCAGAAAGTCCAGATAAGTATATACTTCTCTCCATCTCCTGGGACAGTCTCTCCCTTCTTATGTGTTGCATGCCTGCCCTCATACAAATGACAGAATTTTAGCCATCAACAGGAAGACCATGTACAGCTGTTAAGAGCAGTCCTGGAGCCACTCAAAGGAATAGCTCACACTGGAAACAGCAAACTGGCTCCAAACAAGGATATGCAGCTAGGATTTCTTGTGGACAGAAGTAAAATCTCTGGTAGGAAAAAAAAAAAAAAAATCCTAGTTACTATTACTGCCAGATACCAAAAAAGTGCTCAACAGCTCTGAGAACTTAAGCTTGGTCAGCTATGACAGGGATAGATGTGCCTGTCTAGAAGCAACACCACCACTACAGAATGCACATGGCAAGCAGCGCAGGAGAGTAAGCAGTCACCTACATGCCTGCCAGTAAATCCTTCTAGCAGTTGAAGATACATATAACCAGTACCAATTGCACAATATATTTTCAAATAATTCATATTGGAGCCAGAATCACCTTGTAGGGCTACAGAGGTTAAAATGTCAAAAGGAAAACAGATGTATAGCACCTAATACAATGTCAATGTAAGAAAACTATAACAAGAAAGGTGAAGCAGCATAAAAGAAATGCCTGTCTGTCAGACAGTAACAGAGAGCCTGATGCAGGAATATTTCTGATATGTCTTAGTATTGCAGAAATGACTAATAACATAGAAGTGTTTTAAACAGTAAAGCAGGAGTTACTCTTCCAATAAAAAAAAAAACTTGCTTCTGTTGAAGATACCAAATACTGTTAAAGTACTACACTTCCAACTCAGCCCTGAAAAGATGTACAGTGTCACCAGAACAGCCAGAGATATCCACTTCCTGGGGCGATATACTAGACTTTCCCTTTATTGCAACCTAACTACACTTCTCTATAGCCTACTGCAAATGCAAGCATACACAATAAACAAGAGAATCAGGTGAAACAAGTGAAGTACTACCTCATACATGACCCCAGCCCTCTGAACCATACATATGTATTTTAAAAACCCTCAATATATTTTGCCAATAATTTCAATAAAAAAATTAAGCACAAGTTGTTAGTTCAAACAAGTTTATCCACATCATGGATAAATAATTTTTCTCCATTAAAAAAAAGCTTTTCCTTTGTCTGGCTCTTTCCTCCCACCAGTATTTTCTCTTGCTTTTTGAGCTTGTTATGTCTCAGTGATAAGATCCATGAATGTAAACCAGTCTCAACACAGTCTTCAGAGCTTGATTTCAGTTGTTTGGCTTGAAAAATCCAGGATATCCTCTGCAAATATATCCAGAAGAGTGCATGAACTTATCTCAATCATATTTTGAATTAGCAGAAGACACAAACATTGAAAACTTTATTATCTTGACAAGAAAAAAAGAAGGGTCAGCTAAAGTAAGAGCTTTGCTCTATTTGATTACTCAAATGGATTCCAACTCCAAGTATGTTAAAATACCTACTTTTATCAGTCTCATTCTGGGTTGTTGTGATTATTTGACTCCATACATGTTCCTTGTACCTCTTACCCAAATAATCTGTACTGACCCCAAGTTTAACAGATAACCAACAAGCATAATATACATTACATTGAATCAGGAATATCTACACTTGATCGAGTTGTCACAAAAACTTCTCTCTATTCAAATTGATTGAGTTATTTTTAAAGCTATTATTCCATTATTCAAAGACTACTCATGCTTATTGTAGACTAATTTAATCTCACATATTGTTCATAAGGTGGCTTTGCATTTCAAAGAACTTTGTCTTTGCCAAAACGACCATGAAACCAGTAGTGTCACTTACAGTTTTCTCCAATTCCTTAGTTTTATTCCCTAAATTTACTCTGAAGAAAGCATTCATCAGTGCTTTCATTGCCACAAAGCAGAATATACCTACAGATAAACCAGTAAAACTCTACCTTCATTTATTTTTTTTCCCCTAAAGTTGGGAGGATTCAAACACACAATTATAATATTCATTCTTTACAAAAAGGCAGTCAGCTACCATGCCAAAGAATAGTTACTTAGTCACAGCAACAAGAGCTATTTTGGTAGCTGAAGAGCACGCAGCTGCATGAATTTCTAAATGCATTAAAGCACCTTCGTAGCACCTTAAAATTAAATTACTTAACCAAATTTGTAAAATTTAATCATACCTGTTCTCTTTATTGCAGTAATCAGTGAAATCACTTCCACATCTTATAGTATTTCCTGCCTTGGTCTCCTTTTCCTTGGCTTTAGAAGAGTCTACTTTATGATTATACTTGGACAGAATCTAGAGGAAACATTAAAAGGGAATAAAAAGAATTATCTAACAACTCAAAACAGGCTACAGTTTATACATATTTAATAAGTAGCAGAGAACTCTTTGAAGAACAAAATTGGATAGAACTAAGCCTTTTGATTTTATTATTTTGATATTAAAAATATTTAGGAAAAAAAAGTTAGCTAACCTGTAGAACATCATCTGGTATCCTTGTTATTTCTGGAGGTGGAGGAGTATTGAATAACTGGTCATAGTGTTTTATTTTAGGAGGAGAAGGGTCTCCAAAATGTTTAAGATAATCATCAGAGCTCACAGCAAAAGGAATGCTATTTTCTACGTATTTTTTATCTGTTGCATCCTTCTTTGTCACCGACTCAGTTTTGCCCCCCTGCTTCACCTGCTGCAAAAGAGGTATTAAATGCCTTCAGTTAATCTACTTATCTTAGGTAAAGTATTTAATAAACGTTCTTACAAAATTACCATTAAAAAGATCTTCTACAACAACATAAGAAAAAGTAGTATAGGAAAAGAACACTGTATTGGGTCCGTGGGGCAAGGTCTTATTTGGGGGGGGGGCACAGGGGTGGCTTCTGTGAGAAGCTGACAGAAGCTTCTCCTATGTCTGACAGAGCCAATGCCAGCCGGCTCCAAGACAGACCCGCCGCTAGCCAAGGCCGAGCCCATCAGCAACAGTGGTAGCGCCTCTGGGAGAACAGATTTAAGGGGGGAAGGAACACAAACAGAATCTGCAGCCAGACACAGGAGTGAGAAGATGAGAGAAACAACCCTGCAGACACCCAGGTCAGTGAAGAAGGAGGGGGAGGAGGTGCTCCAGGCACCGGAGCAGAGATTCCCCTGCAGCCCGTGGGGAAGACCATGGTGAGGCAGGCTGCCCCCCTGCAGCCCAGGGAGGTCCACAGTGGAGCAGATCTCCACCCGCAGCCCAGGGAGGACCCCACGCCAGAGCAGGTGGGTGCCCGAAGGAGGCTGTGACCCCGTGGGAAGCCCGTGCTGGAGTAGGCTCCTGGCAGGACCTGTGGCCCTGTGGAGAGAGGAGCCCACACTGGAGCAGGTTTTCTGGCAGGACTTGTGACCCCGTGGGGGACCCATGCTGGAGCAGTGTGCTCCTGAAGGACTGCAGCCCATGGGAAGGGCCCACACTGGAGCAGGGGAAGAGAACAAGGAGTCCTTGCCCTGAAGAGGAAGGAGCAGCAGAGACAACGTGTGATGAACACAACCCCCATTCCCTGTCCCCCTGTGCTGCTGACGGGGGTAGGTAGAGAATCCAGGAGTGAAGTTGTGCCTGGGAAGAAGGAAGGGGTGGAGGGAAGGTGTTTTGAGATTTGGTTTTATTTCTCATTACCCTACTCTGGTTGATTGGTAATAAATTGAGTTAATTTTCCCTAAGTTAAGTCTGTTTTGCCCGTGATGGTAATTGGTGAGTGATCTCTCCCTGTCCTTATCTCAACCCACAAGCCTTTTGTTACATTTTCTCTCCCCTGTCCAGCTGAGGAGGGGAGTGATAGAGCGGCTTTGGTGGGCACCCAGCATCCAACCAGGGTCAACCCACCACAAATCCCAAACTGACATCTGAAAAACTGCTTATGGTAAAAAGTGTGTGAAAAGGTACATAATTGCTATTTACTACCTTAGCTTCTGTTTTTAGCCATCTTGTTTCAAAATCTGGAAACTGTGGTGTTTCTGTATGACTGGGAAGAGGCAGTTCATTTGTCTCTGGTGACCTTGATAATACTGTATTATTTGTTCTGGAAGGGATTTTCACATCAGGAGTACAGAACACAAATACCATAGGAGAAGCCATCCAGCCAGCTGCTGAAATGGGGCGGGGGGGGAATGACAAAAATAAAAATATATACATACACACACACACACATATAAATATTATTAATTCCAGTGCCCTAGTTCAGTTTTCTATTAGCTTTTCATAGATTTGCATATTCTAAAATGCATCTATCATTTTAGCTGATATTTTTAGTATGAAGAACCATCCAAATACAGAATTCCATAAAAGCTACAAATGTAAAAAAAAAAAGTAAATCTAGTCCCACTACTGAATATAACTGAAAAAGCCCAACTTAAATCAACATTGCTTTAGCTTCTCATATATTCAGTTGTCACTACGTTTGTCCCAAGATCTTCACATTTTCAAAAGAACATATTATATCTCCTCTCAAAGAAGTTTCAGCACTACTTTTGAAAGATTTAAGTTACTGTCTTGTTAGCCTCTTTCAAAGCAGTTTCTTTCCTATCTTTAAACAGATCTAATAGGTATTCTCAGTGTAAAACAGGTTTTTTCTTTCAAATAAGGATAAGTTGCAGTTACAAAATGATGGATCCCTCTGCATAATTCTAGATGGATATGAGAACAAGAATGAGCAAAGATTTACATTGAAGTGAGAAACTTTCCCACAGAAGCCACAAACATTTAATTTTCTAGACATTACTACTCATATGATGACTGGGCCTGAATTAACTATATTTAAGAAGAAACAGTTTAAAAGTTTACCATTTGTTTACAATGCATTTACACATGCATTATGTAAAAATGCATATATACATTTATTTCACGTATTTTTAACTTACCATTCTCAGCTGTCACTTTTGGTTTTGGCCCAGGAGTAAACATGATTTCCCTGGATGTCATTTCTGGTACATTCACTTCATGATCATCTTTTTTAACCAAACTGAAAACCAAATCTGTCCATTAGCTCTCAAGTAACATGAAGAAGTCACAATTAAAGGAATACTGTCAACCTGATCACTTTTCTAGTATTGTTTATCAACATGCAAGTCAAAAATACATTTCCTCAAAAATGATTCTTTCATAGATTTCTTTATCTAGGATTCTACTGCAGCAGTTCGTAGCATGCAAATGTTCAGTTCATCCACAAATTATCAAATATAGTGAGATTTCAATCCAAGGCATAAACCCCCCCCCAAAACAAATCCCTATCCCAAAAAACCAAACCAAAACAAAGGTGTCCAGGGTAGGATCAATTTTCTTTGTCCCAGATGATCAATTCTGTGTTGGGGTACAGTCTATTTTATTTTGAATTGCCTGTTGCCTACAAAATTCTAAACAACAAGAGGAAATATTTTTGGCTCTTAACCTACTAACGTTATTGTGAACACTAAAAGATTTTTAATTCTATTTTTAAGTTTGAATAAGATTACTTATGTTTATCACTAGCTGACTTCAGAATGAAAAGCCATTTAATATAAATTCCACAAAACTGGAAACTGAATTTTTTAAAATTCTTTTTTCACATCCAAGCTATTCTAGTGGAAGAAGGGTATAGGGAGTTAAGAGACAATACCAGACAAAAAGTGGAAGCTTAACCTAAACTCTACATAAAAGTGTGTCCATAAGAAAATAATTTTAAATGTTTAAAAAGTTATCTTAACTATGTGAACCACATTTAGAGCTTCTCTACAAAAAGCCTAAGCTTAAAAAAAAAATCCATTTGAGGCAATATATGTTACTTAGATGAACACATCTCAAATTTTGAGTTAAAAAAAAAAAAAGTAATTTTTCAAGTCAGTTTTGCCTCGGAAGTATTACAGATACCTGAAACCATATGGGTTTTAGTTTTTACAATGGAGAAGAACAAATATAACAATTTATTCTTTTCTTTCCTAATTACTTTTTGTTTCAGTTTTGTAGAAGGTGCATCAAAGTATATTGTTCTTTTCACCCACTTCAAAACTGAAAACCTGAAAAACAAAGTTGGAGGAGTTGAAGTCCACTAAATATTTCTAAGAACTTTGAGATGAATTTTTAAAGTGTTTTTCACACAATACACAGCTGCTAGACAGATTTCAGCTAGGTACAAGACCTGGCTGGCAGAAGTAAGGTATATAAAAGGGCAGGGCTGTTTCCAATAAAGTCAGCATTATTACCTGTCTCTGTACCTGGAAACTACAGGTATAAGTCTACCCCACTTGTACTAGTTTTTTTTCCTTATCTGATCCTTGGGGAAAAGATTTTTTCACTGGATAATGGGCAGAATATCTTTCCTTTATTAATTCTTTTTGTTGCTTTTTTATTTGCTGGCTTAGTGTTCTGCCCATTTAACATGCTGAGACTTCTCACTAAGAGGCAAGAGGAGTGCTTTTTGCAGCTAACAAATGTTTAGTTGTTTCAACCTTTCTGATCAAACTGCAAGCTAACTCTAACTTAATGTTGCAAAATAAACAAAACAAATAAGGTAAAAAACAGTTAAACAACATTTTAACTCTAATGACTTGATGTCATGACCTCTCACATAAGCCACTAATTCTGAATCTATACGCAGCTTTAACTTTAGTCACAATTAGTGTGTGTCCATCTGTTTTGGTCATTAATAATGATGATGTTTTAAATGGCAATCATGCTGTAACTAATTCTCTACAGAATTTTAATATTATCATTAGGGTATGGAAGACTGCTACTGTGATTTTTTTTTATTATATATAAATATCACTAGTGGACTGTCTAATTGTTTCACTAGAAGCCACAGAAATAGAATCTACATTTGTGGATGCATCCATTTATAAATTACAGCCATAATTAAAGCTGAAGATCACATTTAGAACAGTTCTCATTAAATAGGAAAAGTTGTACAAAATCCACAAAAAGTTATAGATATCAAAAGAACTTAAATTGTGCGATAAGACAAAACTATTTTCAAAATACTATTTGAGAGGGAACAATTTTTTAATTAATATCTTTCGGGATTCAGTAAGTTTTCCTATTATTACAATTCAAATACTATAGGGCTTTATAAACATTCTAGTATTTATATAACCTTTTAAAAGGAGAGATCCCAAAGCTATTTTAAAAGAAAATGTATCTTTTCACTTTTTCCCCAGTAATCTTAAAATCAAAAAAACACTCAAAATTTAACCATTGCAGTAAACTGGATCTTTGGGGGGCAAAGTCACTTAAGTTGGCATGGTTCTGAAGAACTTCACACCTGTTCCTATATTGCAAATATCAGGGATTAAAAAACAAACAAAAAAGTTGAATGATTATTTCCACAACTTATTTTGAATATGATTCTTGTTTTTTGAATAATTTCTCTAAATACCAAATATTTAGCTGCAGAACAGCGAGTTTCTTTTAAATACTGTCAGCTTTTAAAATTGAATGTGTTGCTAACTATAAAAACATGATCTAACCACCTTTACATTACCTTAGAAGTATAGAAAAATACATCTACTGCTAAGCCATTCTTCACCTCACTGCTGCAAATTCTTTTGTTTAATTTTAATTAGAACAGTGAAAATCTGGAGATGTCTTTGAAACAGAAGACTGGAGCAAAAAGAGCTAACTGTTTGTAAGGTGGGGCTGGATAACATAAGAGAGAATACACTGTTTCTATGATGACGGCATTCTACTGAATGCTTTAGAAGGTTATTCCAGGTCTATATTCCTAAAGCTTCTGAAACCTTTAAATTGGCTATGTAATATCTACTGCAGACAACACATCCTCAAATCCAAATCCAAGGTTAAAGAAAGCAAAAGATCACAGATATACTATGCATGCATTCTCCCTTTGTAAATAGATTTTGTATGGAAGATTCTTATCGTGGTGCAGTCAAGGGAAGGAGTATATCAGAGATGTGTTTCATGGCAGCGTTTGGCACTGCAAAGGGTACATGAAAAGACACAGAACTAACTAGCTGTTAGATAATAACATACCACGTGCTTGAAGAAAAAGGGCAATAGCAGCAAGAAATTAGTACAGCAAGAAGAAACTACAGAAAATTCAGCAGAGAAACAATCTGAAGTAATGTACTCACTTCTTGCTTGTCTGAGCAGTTTTACGAATAAGTGACATCGTATAATCTTCATTCATACACATGGTATGTTCACTAATGCCAAAGTGTTCAAGTTTTGGTGTTACACACTCATAATCGTCCATCTTTAGCATACATTTTGGTGTTTTGGGCAAAATACAAGGTGCCTGTGTTTTTAGCGGAGTCCTGTTCTTTGAATTTTCTTGATATGCATTTGTTGTGCGTTGTCCTTTCACTGCGCTCCAAGGCCTGGAGAACGCATATTGTGAAAGACCAAAATCAGAAAGCTGGGGATTACGCAGTGGGTCTGTGGGCACCAGTGGCTTCTCAGTACAAGCAGGAAGAGGGACATCTGCTTTTCCTTCATCAGATTTAGTCTGGACAGACACTGTTGAATCGCTGTTAACAACTTCTTCCTCCTCTTCTGTTTGAGAAAAGTAATAATAAATAAAAAAATTATGTCAGAAGTTTCTGGTTTAAGAATTTATAAAATAAATTGGAACTTCCCCTCAGTTCAAATTTTTTTTATTTATTATTGTAAAAAAAAAAATAGATTCCTTCTTTCATTTTAAAGCACTGAACCTGAAGCTACAACAGATATCAGAAGGTCATATTATAAATATAGCTTAGCCCGATACAAGTCACACATTTACTGAATTCCACTCTTTTGGTAAATATTATTTCTAGGAAAAATGAAATTGAAAGATCTTTACACAAGTGTATTTTTAATAGAGTTCATCTCCCTGCATGGAGCAGGCAGGAAGTGCTAATCTTAAGTATACTTATTTGTTTTTAGTTCAGTGCAAGAGTGAAAATTGATTAAAAATGTACAACAAATGACAATGAAAAAAAATTTGTATAGAACTGAAAATGTTTTTGGGGAAAAAGCAAAGGCTGCACACAGTACCAGAAAAACAGTATTGAAGAAAGGTTATGAAGCAGCAAGTAAAAACTTATGAAAGAGGGTAGCTTTTTAGATAAAAAGAAGAGTCCACTGCAGAAATAAGCAAACGTGGAATTTGTACATTTCTGTAATTAGATAAACTGAAACACCCCAAAATATTTGTGAATTTCTGCATAATGCAAGAAAGCGGGGGGCAAGCTATTTAAAATATTATAGCAGAGGCATTACCTTTTTATGTGTATTGGTATTACCTATTCAGATACACTTAGCTTAAAAATACATCTTAAAAAATAAATTAACCTTGTAGCTCTGTTTGAAGTCTTCTTTAAAGGCAGAGAGAGGACAGGAAGGAAGAGACTATAAAATTAGAGACTTCTGCCATATCTTTGTAAAATAGGTGTAGTAGCTTAACTCAGAGGTGAATATGATCCATGACTACAATTTTGTTTTGTGTAATGACTGGATAACACTCAGGGGAAGGTTAAGGTGTACCTTGCCAAAGGCTTCTTTAAGATTTATTGGGCCCTTGATACTGAAAGGGGTAAGTGTAGTACTGACAGTTGTAGTGTTTTAAACTCATTTGGCATATCTGGATTTTTCACACAGGTGTGTGCGTGCGTGCACTTTTTGACTGGATTAAGGATCTCCCCACCTCCAATGATCAAGCTAGTACTGCTTGCCACATGTCACCTAATCCCTGTATGTGCTTCTCTTGTCCCATTTGTGCTGCGGAGCACGTTATTTTAAGATTTTCTCTATGGTGATTTAAGTTAATGGAATCATCACATATGAATACAAACTAATTCAGATGCATCTACAATAGTTTCCCACGCATGAGAAGCTGAAGCAGCATAATTCTCTGCGTTATGAAAACATGTTTGCTAACATGTTTTCTGAATATAACTATTACTGGAGGAAAAAAAACCCCCAAACCAAACACAAAACCCACACACTATCTTAAAAGCATGCCAGGAGATCTAACTCTTCATATTTTGGTTTATTCTTATGGCACCAATCACAACAGAATCTTTTACCATCTGGATATTATTATAAAGCAAATAAGATAGATGTACTTGATCTCTTAATTAATAGAAATATACATATAGCTAAAGAGAACATTTGTCTTCACATACTGTATTACCTGTAGAGTCTTTGACAAGTGGTTTGTAGCCGTATTTCTGGAACAGCTCTCTTATTTTTCCAAGATCTGCTGCATTTCTTTGCATCAATATTTCACTTGCCTTCATAAACTCATGAATTGCTTGTTTTTCAGAGCAACTCTTACCAAGACTGGCATTAACATCTTCCTTTGGGGGCAGAAGGAAACACAGAAATATTGGTTTTCAAATTATCACATAGTAGTTGTTTACACGTGAAGTATTTTGGGCATAAGTATTAAACTTCAACTCAGATGACGATAAGCAGCAAATTTAGGTCTTATCTATACCTAAAAACTAGGTTACAAAATATCAGGAATATATAAGGCACAAGTGTACAAAACCTTAAAAACGTTAAACTAAGATGACAGTTCACAGTATGATAACAACTTACTGGTAACCTCTCAGACAAAAATATATGCTTTTACTCCATAAAAAAAAACGAGATAGCAGCAATTAGTTTGGACTCCTACTCCCCATGTACAAAGAATTAGTGCAGAGCATATAGTAAATCTCAAGTCTATATTCTAGCTTACCTCTCAATTATTTCTACACTTGCTCATTTCTAATAGAAGTATGAAAAATGGGCTATAAAGAAATAAAGAACATTTCTTCATGTTTAACTGAATGGCTGAAGGTACTGAAAAACTTTTGTGAAGACTTTCTTTATTCTAAGTGCCAGTCATCAAACACAAACAAGCATATCTCTTCTCTAGGGAGCTGCTGCTCCTGAATCCTTTTCCCCTATATCTATGCCTTGGCACAGCTACAACTTCCCCGTTACCTTTGTCCCCTGATAATCCAAGTGACAACACTGACTGCAAACTAATAAATACTGCTAAATCTACTTCAAGCCACCCAAAAGTTTTTGGGCACTACCCCAACATCCACAGCCATTATGAGGACTTAGAGGTAAATGAATAAAATAAGGGTCAGAACAGCTGACTAACAAAGTTGTATTGTGGCTTAATGATGAAAACAGAACTGTAAGATTATGGACACCCCCCCCCGCAATTTTTCAAGAAGTACGTGAGTTAAGGTGTTACCTTCAGACTCCTGATTTCACAATGGAGGTCATGCAAGACTCTTATTGGAGATTCATCTTCATAGTCTTTGATATGCATGTCACATAAAGGGGTTTGGAAAGAAAGAAGGGGGGGTTAGTATTTCAGTGTGAAATTACATTCTACATCAGAACGTAATCACCTATATTAGACATGTTGGAGTCATATGTTAGAGAGTCAAAACAGAGAAAAACAAAGAGAAACTAGTTTACATAGGGTACCTTGCACAGCATGAGACTGCAATTTGCACAGTATGTTAAACTACACAGAGAAACTGCACAGGCTTCCATTTACTGTTGCAGCTACTACTGTAAAAATTGATGTATAGCAGACATTGGTACAATAGGTAGGTCCCCGGGCTATCAAGGATTATTTATGCTAAATTTTTATCCTTAAAGAACTTGAAATAATAAAAATTGAAAAAAAGCATTGTAGACACCACTGAAAAACATACACCAACAAAAGCTGAATTCTTCTGCCTTATTTGCACGTGGGTAGATGCTAGTATTATTCACTTACGCATGCAGCAGTCATTACTTATTTCACTGAAAATCAGGGTTAATGCAAATGGTGTAAAAGAGGACACCTGCTATGTGACAAGAGATAGCACAGCGATAAATCCAATTAGACGCAGGTAGCTGTGCAGAGAGAACAAGCCTTACAAATAAATGCATTTTCCTGTCTCAATCCATGAAAAGGAATAAAAGCAAGAATGTAATTCCCATTTCATCCCGTTCATCCCCACAATAAAAGCTCACCTACGCACCCACAAAGGAGCTCAGAGAGACAAAGATAAGAGGGGAAGCCCAAGGAATACCCTGCAGACCTATGCCCAGGCCTGCCACCGGCCCACCAAAGGCCCGTCTCCTGCCCAGAGGAGCACAGGGGCACAATAGCAGGCGGGAACCCAAATGAAGGACTCCCGAGGACCAACCGCCTTCCCGCCCCCCCCACTCCGAGGCTATCCCAGCAGAGCCATCAGCCCCAGCGTCCAGGCCCATCACCACGAGTCACCGGGAGCAACTCTCCAGATGACCTTCCGAACTCGGGGTCTTGCTGCCTGGGGGTGGGACGGACACGACAGCAGGAGCCCCGGAGCACGGCTGTAGCCCTGGGAGCGGGAGAGGCCCCGCTCCCGGCCCCCTTCGGTCGTCCCGGTCAGGAGACGAGGCGAGGCCGGCACTTACCCACGTCCTCTCCGCGTAGGGCCCTCTCGAGCTGCCTCGCCTCCTTCTCCAGCGTGAGGGCTAGGGCCCGCAGCTTACCGAAGAAGTCCCTCGACACGTCCATCGCCCGCAGGGAAGGGGAGGGGAGGGCAGTACCAGAGGGACAGCGCCAGCGCCACCCGGCGAGGGCCGACCCGACCCCCACTAGGCCCAGACCGCGCAGGCGGCCGTTAACGGCTGCTTGGGAACTGGGGCTGGCGGCGGCTCTGAGGAGAGGAGAGGAGGGCCGGGCCGGGCCGGGCCGCGCGCTGCCTGAGGGGGATGGTTACCCCCCGCCGCCAGCTTCGAACGGCGAGCCGCGCGCGCCCCATT